GCTTACGTGACTGTTGCCTGCATAGTGCCTTGAGATCCTATGGCAAAATGGCAGAGTAGTGGTGCAAACTGTTAGCTACCACCATGCCAAAATACACTGCAGCTGCTACCGTAATTCAGCCTGTCTAAAAATTCTGCATTGTGGGACTCGAGGAAAAAAGCCGGATGCCAAGTTGCTTTAAATAATTGCTGACTTAGAGGGTTTCTCCCATCTCAATGTTTTTTCCTGGTGCCTTTTCACCTTTTGCTCGTTTGAAATGCCTCCTCAGTGCTGTCCTTTTTGAACATGCAGAACTAGGGGAAAAAAACATCTATCCTAGTGTCAGAAACTGGCGCCTGAATGAACCTGCACAGCATAACAATTACCTGCGTGTAGAAAATGACCAGAGATTTGGGCAGCACCTTCATTTTTTGAGTGGTAGGAACTGGCTTCTGCCCCTTTGCAAAGTGTTGTTAAATTTGGCCGTCTACTGCTAACTGCCTCTTTTGAATACCAGATGCATATTGGGGTGGGGGGTGTACACAGCCCTTGCTTGTGTCGTTTTTGCCGAAAAGTCATAATTTGTTAGATTAGAGAACAGGCCACTTTTTGCTGGAAATGCTCCTCTGAAGATATTCTCCCCAGGTTTTGGAGGCTGAAGCGACCATCCTTGCAGAGCATAGAAGGTATTGCAATCGGCAAGTATGTTTGCAAAGGATTCGTACAAGTACTTAAACCAAGATGCATGTCTAAGCAGCTGCCTAAACAGCAACAATTCATACTGCCCGGCTGAAATCTTGTGTTCCTACTGGGCTTTTTGGCTTCTTTGCACTTGGACTGGGGCATTAAGAAAAAGAATCACCTAAATTTTTCAAATGCAAGTAGTCATTTCTCAGACCCTCAGTTTGGGTCATCTAACTTAAGACCTCCTGAAAAAAGGAAGTTTTCTCCAAAAAATAAAAATAAATAAATAAAAATTCTGAGCATCTTTCCTTGAAAAATCAAGCGTTGAGAGGCACCCAAAGTCACAATGGTCAATTTTGAAAATATAAGTCGATGTTTATGTCGAGCTAATACCCTCTTCTGGAGCCCGTTTTGCATTTTATTCATATCTTTATGGTGCTTCCATTGAGCCAACCTCTGTCCCATCGCTGAGGGTATTAAATAAGGAAACATCAGTGATAAAGAAAAGACAGCAGGGCAGGTATTAATGCACCTAAAAGGAGACTTTTTGTAGCTAGCCTCTGGAACTATACAGATATTGTTGAGAGTTTTATTTTCTTCCTATTATAAATAGACCACAACTTATTGGGGAAGCTTCCCGAAGGCAACTGAACGGCGAATATCCTCTTCCATGTTCTTAAAGGTTTCATAAGGGGGCGGCCAGAGGCCATTATTCTGCAGGCAGCTTTTCACTGTCTGTCCAGTCTTCGGGCCTGTCATCTGGCTGCTCTCAGGAGGGAGCTCCGACAGTTTGTCAGCTCCGCTAGCGACTGAAGATCCACTGTTAAGGGGTGGGTCGTTTCTGGTCCCTCGCGGGGCTATTGCTTGCCGTCTTAGGCACGGATGAGTCCGTCTCACCACTGAGCAGGTTTCAAAAGCCTGTTTTGTACAACCATTAAATTAAGGTTCCCTTTTCACGTGCAGACAGATAAGACCAGGGAGGCCTGGGTATTGGGTATTTGTGCTTCTCTCTCTGAAGAGGGTGCTGAAGTTGGGCTGTATAGGTTTGGTTTCTCTCCTGCCTGAGTTTGAGACCTGCTGATACTCTGCAACTTTCCTTTTCGCATTGTTTTGTTCAGTATTGACCTTTTCCCAGACCACAAAGGATGAAGAGGCTTTATGAATTCAGCAAATACGTTGTTTCAATACACAGCTTGCCTGCAGCACCGGGTTGGTGGGAAGGCAGACAGTGGGTAGCAGCATAAAGCCAGCACTGACCATAATCCTTGTTGCAGAACGTTTCGCCTTACCACACCTCGTGCACCAGTGGACAAAGACAGCCTCGTGCTAATGGCACACGGACAACTATTTGGAAGGAGGGAACTTACTGCCTGTATTTTCACTGTGGACAAGGAACAGGTGCTGAAGGGCTGTGCGGTGCCTTGCAAAAGTGCAGCCCCTATAATCTCCTTTGCTGCAGAAGGAAGTTGCATCGTAACGGAGGCCCTATTTTGAAAACAGCTTAACTAGCACCAAGCGTTCCCTCCTGTGCTTCATGAAAGGTTGAGCTGGGAGGTTTAGTGATGGGTGCTGGACTTGAGATCTGGGTTGTTCCTGCTCTGCCTCCGGTTTGCTTGGGTGACCTTGGACTCATTGCTTTCTCCATGTGCCTCGGTCTCCCCCTGTGTTGTACGGGAATAATTAAATGGATCATTTAGTGAAAGCGCTTTGAAATCGCTGAATGAAAAGCCCTATATAGGGGTGAGGTCCTAGGGCAAAAGGAGCGGGAGATGTGCCAGCAACACGGCAATCTCAGTGGTGCAAGCAACCACACACGGTGTTGGACTGAGCGGTGGTGAAACTGCAGATTCGTACAAGTGGTTCAGACTCTCACCGGACCAAGAAGCTGCCTGCGTTCTGTATTTTGCTTGGATGCAATTGTGATCCTGTAGAAAGTCCCAGAAGGGGCGGCATCTTTTGCTCAGCGGCTGAGCGGCTCTTAAGTGAAAATAGACTCTTTCGACCAGTGAGGAGAGTGGAATTCTTAAAATCTGTATTTGGTGCTAAATTAGCATCCCACGAAGGCTGTAATCAGGAAACGTAGGATTATTTTGCCTAATCAGCAATATGTGAATTACATGAACATCACAATAATTACATTTTGCATGTGCGGGACTTCAGTATGCCCAAGTAGCATTCAGATGTGGCACAACGTGTCTCACTGAATAGGGGCACTAGGTGAGATTTTTGAAATGATTGGGGGGGGTTGGGTGTCTTGAGACCCTTTAAAAATGGGGTGCTCAGATTGCTCTAGATTTAGGTCCCTTTCAGGTATCCCAAGTCGGGCCCCAAGAACTGAGATTTTCAAAATCGCTCATCGCTTTTGATGCTCTCGATCTGTGGTATTTCCACCCAGTAATTACATGAGCTCTTCAGTGATGCGGCCCTGTTACTGCTGCCCCTGCTAGGACTTTTCAGAGGATCGTAATTATATCCAGGTAAAACACAGAAGCCAGGCAGCCTCTTGAGTTAATTCTGAGATGCCTTCAGGGCAATTTAAAGGGTCTATTCTCTTTGCCTTGCCTCCTAGTGCAATCGTGATGGGTTGCCTGCACGAATGTTATTGTAATTGCCGAGGGATGATGGCTCGAGGTTTATGACCCTGTCTGAGCCCCTCAAGTGAGTTATGGCCTTTCATTTACTCCTGGGGTCATATTCTCTTTATAATTGCACTGAAGTGACTTTCCACCGTGCTTGGTACATGAACCCAGACATGCCATAATTTGTCCCGTAAAACATAGCTGCCTCTTAATTACATGAAGTATGTGAGATTGTCTTCCTGGACACGGTAACTCCAGTTAAGTCCGTATAAATCTCTTTGACCTCCTTTGCAATTTCCTTGCAAATAGCATAACTAATAGAGGTAGTCTTCACGAGCGGAGAGTTTGCTACTTATGCATTCTTCTTGGCTGTGCTCAAGTAAAGCAGGGATAAATCTACCCGCTTATGTCAATGGAGTTAGTTACACTGGTGTAACACAGGTACTGATCTTGGAAATTGCTGTAGGGGAGGAATGAGTGTCCCCTGTAGTCCGGTATCGTGGCTGTAACAGTAGTCAGTAGCTTCAGCACAGAGAGGCTGTAGTAGGCGGTGATGGGATAACTCGCCTTCAGGGAAAATTTCTTCTTAGCCGTCACAAACAAGAAGATGGCTTACACCCTGGAGTACAGAGGGAGCACAAACGGCCTGTGCCAGGCCGTTTTCTTGTTGCTTTAGTCTTTGCCATTGTAACCTTGCGTGCTTTTGTTAGCTATAGTAACGTCAAATCCTTTTTCAAATCCTGCTGATTTCATGCTTTTAGTTGTACCTGGGTCTCGGAGTTACATAGGTTGGGCTGTATATAAAGCCATGCGAGGCCCTCTCATGGTGGGAGCAGACAGCAGTACATCTACTGTATCTGTTGTAAAAGAGAGCTGCTTCTTTGCTGTCTTTAGGCCCGATTCATCCGTGACACTGATGCTGCTGGTTTCAGCGGTTCCAGCCGGGTAGAATTTGGCTCTTCGCGACGGCATCTGCAGCAAAGTGGTGTTTCTACGCGTCTAAAAATCTCTTTTCTCCCTCTGGGGGACTTTGCCATCAGGGAAATGTCTTCTTTGAATCCTGTCTTTTGTAAATCCTGAATCATTAGTGCACTCTTTTGATGCATTTCTGTTGTTTGCCATGCAGGATGCCTGTACCACTCTGAGGGTTTAAAAAGTCTCTGGGATAGAAAAAGGCACATAACATGATAGCAGAAAGCCATTGGTTCTCTCCTGGCTTCGTGGTCCTGTAGGGACACAGCTGTCAATGAGCGTGTCTTACTCTAGGGCAAGTAAAACTGCCCCAAAGGAGTTTTTACTTTGAGGAGTAATTTCTGTCTGAGCTCTCCTTCAAAAACTGAGCTTTTGCTGGCTTGCCAGCTCTGATCTTTGCGCTAACGTCTGATGCGTTAACTGGAGGACCGAGTGTGCAGTGAGAATTAAAGTGATGCAAAGGATTGCTTGGAGATGTGCGGAAACCGTACGTGCTGCACTTAGGATCAGCTTCTCCATGTGTTTGGTCACAAGAGGCTGGAAGAGCTGAGAGGCCAGAGCAGATTTTAAATGCATCCCTTGTACCAGCGTGTGCCATTGTATGTGATTCACTCAGGTCCCTTGTCAGGAATGACTCTGACAGCAAGGGAGAAAGTTTCCTTATGAATCTGTAATATGGCCAGCCCCTGTGCATTGGCTGGGTGTTGCCATGGTCCATAGGTATGTAGTCAACACTTTTCATAAGGAGAGATCAAATTCATACGTTTTCTTTTCCCTTCGTTGTAGGCACAGGCGTGCATACTCCTCCAGAAGGCGCTGCAGACTCGGGAGCTGAAGGACTCCATGGCAGTGGAGGAATGGGAAGAGCTGATCAGAAAGAGCATCAGTCAGGTCACAGAGGTAACGAGCACCAGCAAGTTGAACGTGTGTTCTGCCTGGTTAATGCTTTCTCTAGTCCTGCACCCCATGCTGCAGTGCAGGCCACATGGACTCCTAAGAGACTGCATTTTGAATGCATTTTTGTAGAGGTCCCATATTGGACTGGCACCAATATAAGGATAATTGACTAAATTGGCAATTGGCTTTTTTTTTGGCTGATGTGGCTGATAATGCCACCAATAAAAGCACTGTGAATGCATGCAGCCACAGCACAGCATGCAGGTGGCCAGGCGTGCAGCCCGGCAGCGTGGAGAGCATCCGGGTCCGGCTGGTAAGTCTGCTGTGAGGGGAGGAGGGGGCAGATTGAGGAACCCATGGTGAGGGAGGGAGTGGGGCAGGAGCTGCACAGCCGGGGTAGAGCGGGGGACAGAGCTATGAGCAGCTCGTCCAGGGGGCGTGGGGATGGGGTAGCGGCTCCTGCTGGTGCATGCATTCTGGGAGGACATGGGGGGGTAGGTGCCCCTGGATCTGCACGGAGGGCAAGGGCGGGCTGCCGCTGCGGGTTGGAGCCTGGGCAAAGCCGAGCTCTTCCCAGTGGGGGGTGGCTGGGCTGGGCTTTGCTCAGGGTGGGCGGTGGCAGCACTGGGAGGGGGGACTACAGCAAACTTTGGTGTTGCTTCACCTCCC